GTTATTATTGCCTCCAAATGTTCTTATAAGTCTCGTCCCAGTAAGGATTTTGGTGAATTTGGCATACATAAGAAATTTTGCACACCAGTCTGTTTTCCTATCTTATATCTTAAAGGTTTTAGAAAGAATGCTTTTTCTTGACGGCCAGGAGCTCCCACAACCGTTACAGACTTTTCCTTTTAATATTAGATCTTGATTCAGGACCGAATAAGTTGCCCCGGTATCTATAAAAAATTCCACTTTTTTTTCTGTGGTCCCTAGCTTGATTTTAACCAGTGGATCCGCTAGGGTAGATTCCCCAGGTGCCCATCAATCTAATTCTAGTTCAGTAGTCAGTTGAGTTTGTTGTTTTCCTTGTGGACATTCCTGTTTCCAGTGTCCAAACCCTTTACAGTTTGCACATTGATCCAGACTATAACCTCTACCTCTAATCACCATTCTCCAGCCACAACCTCTACCTCTCATTCCACTATATCCCCTATTCGCTTGTTCCATTGCTGCGATTGTGGCTGTTGTCAAAACCTTTCCTAATTTCCTTTCTTTTACTTGTTCTCTATTCCTGTATACTTTCCAAGCCACTTCCAATAGTTTTTCTAGATCTCTTATTTCAGTCACAGATCATTTTTGGAGCTTTTGCCTGATATCCTCCGGTGACTGCCCCACAAAGGAATTTGCAAGCTGTAATTTACCTTCCTCTGAGGAAGGATCCATTGTGCATTTTCGCATAGTTTCTCTGAGCTTCTCCAGGAACTGTCAGTGACTCTTTTGGCCCCTGTCTTATTTCAAACAGCACCGACTAATTTACTGCTTTAGGTATAGTATTTTCAAGCCCATATTTAATCCAATTTTGATATCTCTTTAGAGATGCATAATCTCCAGCATCATTATAATCCCAGTCTGGAGCTGTAAGGGGGATATGATTTTCAACCCTCCCAGCTATCGCCCCTGCAGTAATTTGAGCATTTACCTGTCTACAAGCAGTTTTTATAACCAATTGTTTTTCTGTCTCAATGTATCCAATATTACATCTATGTCCTTCCAATCAGGATCCTGACCTTTTACCAGCATCTCAAATTTCTTAGCTACCCCTACAGGGTCATTTAGATAGTTTTTTGCAATCTGCTTCCAATTATCCAAATCTCCTAAAGAGAAATTTACTTTTATCCTGGTACGCCCCTCTGGTCCCATTGCTTCCCAAAGAGAGGCTTGCACGACAGTCTTAGTTTTACTACTGACACGGGCAGCAATAGGAGTGGTACCTTTGGTGAAACAATCCTCCATTCTGTCCCCAACCATGTTATCCTCGGCTCTCCAGTTTCAAACACATTTCCGCAATATCACAATCAGAACAGCATCTTTCCAATCTATTCCCACCCTGCTTCCTTTCTTTTTCTAAAGCTAAAATTAAAGGATCTGAAGGTGCTATATTAAGTCCACATCCTTTCTGCCATTCTGGGTGGTTTTGCAACGTGAAAAACATATCTGCATACATTACTTCATCCCATTTTCCCTGCCGCCTCAAAACCAACATTAATTGTAACAAGGTATTACAATTCAGAGTTCCATTTTTAGGCCATTTCTCCGGATCCCCCAGAGTATACAATGGCCGGCATTGGTTACAGCATTTCACCAACGTTTTCCTTATTTACTGAGCCCCCAGGAAACCCTCCCAGTTCTTTCCAATGTGCCAAAATGCACCCTAAAGGACTCTTTTTCAAGATCTCTCCACTCTGCCGATTTTCCATTATTAATCTCGCATTCACACACACACACAGAGGATTCCACAGACACACTCCACAGTTACAACACTTGAGACAGAGACTAAAATTGTATCAAACAAACAACAATTAATAACACAGTTATAACATCCTGCCGCCAATACCAAAATCACAAGATGAAAATCATTACTGTAACAAGCCACAAAATAGACACACTCCACACAGTTACAACACTTGAAACAGAAACAACAGTTAATAACACAGTTATAACAGTCTGTCACTAATACCAAAATCACAAGACCAAAATCATCACCGTAACAAGCCACAACATAAGTCAAATACCAGTAAAATCCAAAACCTTTTCTATAAGATTCCCACTGCATCTTGCAGGACCCAAACCACAAGATGCCCTCTGCTTCTTGTGGGCATACACCAAATGGACGCTAGCAGCAGGGTATACGCCTTTACCCATGAGATTTCCTATCTCAATTTACAGAAGGCTTCCAAACCTTGCGTAACACTTAACCAAACCAATTTACCAAACCAAGATGCCCCCTGCATCCTACAGACTATATAAAAGAAAAGAATACCTTTTATGAGATGGTCCTTGTCTGCTCTCGCAGTGATCTGAATGAGTTGAGGGGTCCCTCTGGGAAAAACTCCTGAGGGCCCTAGGGCGCCCTGTCCTCAGCAGGTCCTGCAGCCAAGCACAGTGTCCCATCTGGGGTGCCAGATTGATTTGGAGAAATCTCCAGGAACTTGCCAAAAAAGTTTTAAGCTGACAAGCAGGTATTCTGTATTGCGGAGCCGGGAGACATGGGGGATTGCTCCTCCAAGCGTGTCTCTACCAGGCATCAACCAGGCTGTGATTATATTGTCCTTAAACATACATATTTATTAGATAACATACATTACATCATACTTCTTAGAGAATGCCTCCTGTATGCATACAAAAATGTGGTAGTGGGCTTTCGGACCCCTGGTGGTTATTTCTTCAATCACTTTTGTTTTAGGATCGTTGTCATATCAGTAACCACCAGGTGGTTCTGGCAAAACTTATTTTAGTAATTTTGTTTTCTCTATAGTTGCTAACAAAGTCTAACATTCTTCAGGTTACTTATTTACAACCCTATTCTTCAATCAACCCCATTCTTCAATCCACCCTATTCTTCAATCAGCCCCACTCTTCAATGGGTAGCAGTTGGATTCTGCTTTAAGGGAGCTTTTAAAGATTATCTAGTTGCAAGCCCACTGCCACAGGCAGGGACACCTTCCAGTAGAGCAGCTTGCTCCGAGCCGCATCCAGCCTGGCCTTGAACACTGTCATGGTTTAAACCCTAGCCAGACAGCTTGTTCACTCACTCCCAGTGAGTGGTGCCAGGCTGAGAGCAATCGAGGCCCCCCACCCCGGAGCTCTCCCCTTCCCCTCTCCCGGAGGGATGGGGAGGAGAATCGAAAGAGTGCAACTCCTACAGGTTGAGACAAGAACAGTCCAGCAACCAATGTACAACACAAATCACCACCACTACCACCACCGACAACAATGATAAGAGAAAATAACAAGGGAAGAGAATACAATACCACCCGCCAAGAAACGAGTCCCATCCGGAAGCCCGTGTCCTTCTGGGTAACTCCCAGTTACCCCCCACCCCGGGCATGACGTGCTGTGGTATGGAATACCTCCCTGGCTAGCCCGGGTCAAGCGTCCCGTCTCTGCTTCCTCCTGGCTTCCCCTCCTCCCTGGCAGAGCATGAGCCTCACAAAGTCCTTGGTCAGGGTAAACATCACTTAGCAACAACTGAAAACATCGGTATCACCAGCACTGTTCCCAGGCTGGAAGTCAAACACAGCACTGCACCAGCTACCACGAAGGAGAAAAATGACTGCTACTGCTGAACCCAGGACAAACACGGCCAGGGATGGGGCAGTCAGAGTTTCTCTGTGCTCCCTGTACCAGATCCTCAGCACCCTCACAGGGAAAAGCTGCCTAAGATCTCAGTCTCCCCTCTGTCAGTTTAAAGCCATTCCCCCTTGTCCTGTACATGTTCTGTGCCCATCCATATTTTTTCCTGTGTCACTGCCTGGAATGAGTCATCGGGAGCTGCCTTGTGAGTGGTTCTTCAAAATGATGAAAGTAGGTAATGTATGACACTGTGTACCAGACAGCCTGAGTTGTACCCACTGCCCTAACCTGCTACCCTGCTTTAACACAGGGAAAAGGGAAAACTACAGCAGTCCAGTAAGGTAAAAAAAAAGGCATTTTCCACTTACAGGAAATAAATCAGCTCAGATGTGACCTGGGGGCACTGCTGCTTGGCAAACATATTGGTTTTGACAAAATCAGACTTGTGTGGATTTTGCTTCCAACATTGATGGCTGCAGTTCCTGTGCTGGTAGCAGAGGTCATGTCCTATCTGTTCCAGATCTGAAAGATTTCAGGCAATGCTTTGAAGAGGTTTTAACAACTTCACCTTTCAGCTGAGGTACAACCTGCAAACAAACAAACTCCAAAGTGTGAATTTTGGACTGAATTTTGTCGTTTTCTCCATCTGATCTGCTGATCAAGCAGGCTTTAGGACAGGCAGGTAAGCCTGAGTGGGGCTGAGACTCCAAGAGAGTCACCAGCACCACCACATGCTGCTTCTCAGCTATCAGTGCTCCGTGGCCGAGGCAGCCAACAGCACTTTCAGGAATTGGTGACAGACCCTCCACAACCAGTCCCATTGTCCCCACCTTTGACCAATCACAGGTATTCACCACACAGTGCTTCAATAAGGAAGTTCTCACCCTCCAAGTCACAGCAGCAACAGGGCAGAAAGAAAGCTGAAGCAGCTCTGCCCTGGAGCCAGGCTGAGAGAGCTGGGCTGGTCCAGCCTGGAGAAGAGAAGGCTCCTGAAGGGGAGACCTTAGAGCAGCTCCAGTGCCTAAAGGGGCTGCAGGAAAGCTGGAGAGGGGCTTGGGACAAGGGCCTGTAGGGACAGGCCAAGGGGAATGGCTTTAACTTGCCAGAGCGGAGATTGAGAAGAGATCGGAGGCAGAAGTTCCTCCCTGTGAGGGTGGGGTTGCACTGTCACAGAGTGCCCAGAGAAGCTGTGGCTGCTTCATCCCTGGCGGTGTTCAAGGCCAGGTTGGACACAGGGGCTTGGAGCAGCCTGCTCTAGTATAAGGCGTCCTTGCCCGTGACAGGGGGCTAGAACTGGATGAGCTTTATGGTCCCCTCCACCAGAAACACTCTGGTTCTCTGACAGTTCGCCGCGGGGTGGGACTGGCTGGGCGGGGCGGGACGGGGCGGCACCGGGAGCTACAGAGCGGTGTTGGAGCAGTGTCGCTGTCAGAGAGGCAGCAGGATGCAGGAGGCACCGTTCAGGGACCACTTTTGGGTGAGTGGGGTCTCATCAGGTAGGGAGGCAGTGTGGTAGGACCGAGAGGGGCCAGGGGGCTCACAGGAGAGCCGGGGGGTGGTCACTCTGCTCTGACCGGAGCTGCTTCAAAGCCACCTTCATGTTCCTGTGGTGCTGTTGCTGAAGGCTCGGAGCATCCCCATGCAGGCATTCCCTATCCACGCATGTCCCAAGATCCCTGGCTTTGCAGCCTGCCCTGTCCAGCTAAAATACACTCCATTGAGCTGCCGAGCTGGGGGAAGTTGGTGCTGGGTTTGGGGTTTGATAATATTAATTTGATGAACTTCTTAGAGACACTACGGGCAAAAAAGTCTCCTTTGATGCAAACTAATCCTGGATAGGAAAGAGTTCCTCAGCGTGCTGCTGCCAAATTGCCGAGGAAAACCCACAGTTCAGGGAAAACCAAGTTTTTTTGGTTTTTTTTTTTTTTTTTTTTGGTATTCTGAACATTGCTTTTGGAAATGGAGAAGTGCACAATCTCCACTTAGCTGCTGCAAAGCCCTGGCACTGTGGCTGCTCAGTTCCTCTTCATGTGTGAGCCTTCCAGGAAATAAATGACAAAATCTTCTATTTGCAGGCTGAAAATCCCCATCTATGAGTGGCCTACAGGGTTTCCCAGATTTCTGGGAAGAAGCTCCTATCTTCCAGGGCAGGGAGAAGGTGTCTGGGTCCTGGGAGGAGCAGATGCCAGGTTTGGGGGTGCTGATGAGGGGTAAATGCAGAGCACCCAGCTTGTGGAGCATCATTAGTGCATTATCTAGCACATCATCATCTGATACGAAAGCCCAAATGAGTATTGAACCTGATTTGGAGAATGAAGCCAGCTTTGCATCTGGCAGATGTTTCTCAGCTATTCCCACAGTGCTCACTTTGCTTTGCAAATGTGAGGGAGAGGAGGGATTTGAGGGTGGTGGCAGCACCCCCCAGGCTGGGGAGAATAACCATGATGCTATGAAGACGTGGATTGTCATGCTTTGTTGGAGCACTGGATTGAAGTAGAGGTCCTCGCTGCAGGGCTGGCTTTGGCTAGCGCTGCCCAGTTTCTTCCTCTCTAGCTGCAGCAGGGCTTTCTAAAGGAGGATCTTGGAGCAAGGAGAAAATACCAGGGCAGCCCCAAGCCCCCCAGGATGAGGAGGAGCTGGGACATTACACTGTATGCTTGCTTCTGCCTGACCCCCTGTATTGCAAACATGGCTACATCCTGAATAATGCCCAGTGCTTACTGAGCCCAAAACTATTGGTACTGACATGGATTTTGTTTGGCTTTTAGCAGTTTCCTTTCTGAAGCTTGTGTGCTTCAACAACACCCCCTCCCCACCCCCGACAATGGAAATGTACTTGGGCAGAGGCTGGAGTGGAACATGATGGATGTGACTCAGTGGAGAGAGAGAGGCCCTGCTGCGGTTGATTGGCCCATGGAAACAGCAGTTACCACCCCAAGCAGTCTTCACACCATGGGCCAGTGACTGTGCATCAGCTATAAGGGCTGGGGAGGGAGTAGGGGGAGCAAGAGATGGACAGAAAACCCCAAATTCACCTTCTGTTTGCTGTTTAGTGCTGTGAAAGCACAAACGTCCTCCTGCAGTTTTTGCTCTTAAGTTACTTTGCTTAAACCAAAAAATTCAGGGAGAATTCTTTGCTGAAGTGATTGTGCAGTGGTCAGGACAGTCCAATGGGAAAGGGGACATTCTGGGGAGGGCTCCAGGGCAGGGATGCCTCAACTGATGGGACAAAGTCTGAAAAATAACCAAACCCTGCAAAAGCTGAGCAGGGTTTGGTGTCGTATCTACCAGCTTTGAAACAGATCTGGTTGTGAATGGCAACAGCTGAATTTCTCTTGGGGATAAGCTGCAGCCTGCCTTGCTCTTTCAGGGTGGCAGGGCTGTGCTTCAAGCCTATTTAGGACTGATTTAGCCTTAAACCCCATTAGTTCTGTTCTTTTCAGCGGTGTGCATGTGTCTGTCTTTTCCTGCACAGCAACCTAGTCCCCGCCAAAGTTCATGGTGCGATGCTCATGATGTGCTGCATTGGGAAAGCACAGGGCGACTTTGCTCCCTGCATGCCAGTTTGCTCATGCTCTCAGGTCTCTCCACAAGATGATAAATTCCCTTAAATAAAAGGTTTTTCTCTTTTGCATCCTCCTGCAGCTCCTGCTTACCCAGGGGCCAAAGTCCAGAGATGCCTGCAGCTACACATGATTTGCCCTGAAGGCCCCCGCTTGCATGATGCAGCCTGTGCTGCCTGCAAAAGAGCTGTGGACACACCAAAGACTGTGTTTGTTTCCTCTTGCCCTGCATGTAGTAATTGCCATGAGTTGAGCAAGTGTGGGCTTTTTTTGTGTTTGTTTTTGCAAGATGCTGTTCTTCTTTAATCATTTTCTTGGAAAGTACCTGGTTCTCCACAAGCCTGCTCTTGCAGTGTATTTCGGGTAACCCAGCAGCAGAAATTTGGGTTTCATCAGAGCACTTTGGTCCTGTAATAAGAAAAATAGACATTATGATAATGCTAAAAAAGCCCACTTAAAGTCTGGTGTATTGGCTCACAGCTTGCCACTTGGAGAGTGGAGTTATGGTCATTTTGCATTAAATGAGACAAAACCACTGCTCTGCTCTCTGCAGTGTATTTAGCAATGCTGCTACAACAATCCATAGCTCAGGCAAGTAATCTGCAGTAAAAACTGCACTGGCATTTTTAGTTTTCTAATAAAGCATATATCAAAGTACCTGAAAATACTTACACACCCCCAAATGCATAGGAAATAACCATAGCATCTCTTTTGTGCAGTGGCACAAAGGAAACATGGGGGAAAAGAAATGCTTTGCCCCTTGCTGCAGAGCAAGGGAGCATTGGTGTGTGCAAAGGAACCAGCAGTTCCTCCCAGTGGCCTCTCTACCATGGGCTATGGATGGTATTTTGTCAGTGATGTGACTGGCTGTATTTCTCCTTCATTGGCATGATATTTTTTCAGCCCTGTTTAGCTGGCTGTGGATAAACTCCCTTTTCTTGCATTCCCTCAGCCAGTCCCAGGCTCCTGGGTTCATCACCCTGCTGCTGAGCCACAGTGTGATGCTGGCTGCACCATTTCACTTCCCCTTGCTCCTGCCTATCCTTCTCTAAATGGAGCCTGGTCTGGCAGAGTTTATCAGCAGCATTATGAAACACTCAGGTCCCTGTCTGAAAGGAACAAAGTGGGGTCTGTGGGAAGAAGTAGTTGCATCAAAGCGGAATGGTCCATTGCTGTCTGTGTCTCTGGGATGAGCAGGATGGGTGTGTTCCCCTATGGTAAGGAAACTTCAAATGAAAAATTATTAATAAAAAAGCTGCTTTTTGCGGCTTTCTGTCTGAGGTGGGTGACTTTACAGCGAGTCCTGTTCCTCCCTGAGGTGAGTTTTGTCTGTCCTGTTGTACCAACCTGGTCATGGAACGGGGAGGAACTGCAGCCTCTTGTACTCTGCACCCTGCAAGCACCAGCACAAAGTTTTATTTCATCCCAGCCATATCTGCAGAAACCTGAGTGATTCTGAGGCTGTGCTGACTGTGAGCAAGAATAGCACAGCCATTTATTTCTGGCTACTAAATTAGTCACTCAGCTTCTGCTGCGTTTATCTAAGCAAGTGAGGCTGAGAAGAAAAGTTCTGGACCCCCCCACTTCATTTCTGGGCCCCTCACTACAAGAGAGACATTTTACAGGAGAGACATTGAGGTGCTGGAGCAGGTCCAGAGAAGGGCAATGGAGCTGGTGAAGGGCCTGGAGCACAGGTGTGATGGGGAAAGGCTGAGGGACCTGGGGGGTTCAGTCTGGAGAAGAGAAGGCTCAGGGGGGACCTTATTGCGCTCTACAACTGCCTGACAGGAGGTTGTAGTGAGGTGGGGTTCGGTCTCTTCTTCCAAGGAACAAGTGATAGGACAAGAGGAAATGGCTGCAAGCTGCACCAGGGGAGGTTTAGACCAGGTATTAGGAGAAATCCTCCCCTGAAAGTGTTGACAAGTCCTGGAACAGGCTGTCCAGGACAGTGGTGGAGTCGCCATCTCTGGAGGTGTTTATAAGATGCGTAGATGTGGCATTTAGTCACATGGTTTAGTGGTGGATTTGGCAGTGCTGGGTTAAGGGTTGGACTCAATGATCTTAAAGGTCTTTTCCAATCTAAACAATTCTCTGATTCTTTGATTCTCCCATGTCACTAGCTTCATTGGGTATGTGTCTTGAGGAGGTTTTCCATGCTGAAGATGAATGAAAAGCTCAGCAGCTCGCCCTTTAGCTGTGAGTCATACAAGGTCAAAACTTGTCTTCAGATCCCCACTAGAGCATTTTAGCTCTTTTGACTGTAAGTACACCAAAAGCCAAAGCATTACAACAGGCACACAAATTCCTTCTCCCTGTCAAGTCCATTGGGAGGATGTTTCAATCATAGGCAGTGGATTGGGAAGGGGGGCTCACCCTGCTGAGCCCTGCAGGCTCAGGAAACATCAGCTGCTGCTTTGTCACCTTGAAACCATCTGCTGTTTTCATGCAGTTTCCTCTAAAGAGCATGTGGGCTCGGAGCTCTGCCCAGTAGGGAGCACCAGACAGCTATGTGCAGGGGTGAAGGGTGGAAGGAGAGATGCTTGTCCTTCTGTATCCCTCTGGTTGGGGAGGCTTGGTGCAACTCCCCATCCTCCATATCTGTCTTTGGCTCAGTTTATGATGTCTTTAAATCTTGTCCTCTGTCCCTATGGCTCTGTGCTTGCCGCGTTGCCCTTCCTCTTTCATTGCTCCCTTCCTGCCTTGCCTTTGGGATGTCCTATGAGCAGTCATGCTTTCATTCTTTCCATGCCAACATCTGCCCACAAGGGTGCTTGCTGTGACGGCTGGTTTCAGGGCATATAAACCTGCCCCGCTCCTTCTAGGCCAGGAGCAACTTTACTTCCTGGAAGAAGCTTTTTTGGAAACTTCCACTGGCTGTGTCACCTCCCATGTTTCATGTAACATGTTCCACTAGGAGGGCTGGTCCAGCCTTGGGTGTTTAGGAAATAGAATCACAGAATCACAGACTGGTTTGGGTTGGAAGGTTCCTTAAAGCTCATCCAGTTCCAACCACCTGCCTTTGAGCCTTTGGGTGCCCTTACACTCAGTGATGTGGGTCTGACTGTTCTAGTCAGTGGTTCTCCACATCCATTTTATTTCCTGGGAAACCAGGGATAGGAAGACAAGTTAGGATGTTCCTGTGTTTTGCAACTGGCATGAAGACTGATTTCAGCGTAGGTGTTTTTCCTTTTTCACAGGCCCCATTAGCAAAGACATGATGCAAGCTTGCGGATGGGTTGTGTGTTTATCAGCAATAAGCCCATTTTGGAAGGATGTGCTTTGTGCTTTGCAAAGAAACAGAAGCTGTTTTGATTTTTGCTTAGGTCCTGCTCCACAGTTCTCTCTTCCTGTGCATGCCATGGATGGAGCAAAGCTGACCTGGGATACGTGGGGATTTCCTGCAGGTCCCCCTCCACCACATCTACATTTCACTTCTTGCTTTCTGGCCACTGACATTCAAGTCCTTGACTCCTTAGGGAAGTCTGCATTATTAAATCCTTCATTTATCACAAATACCAGCCCTGTTCCTGCTCTTATCTTGCACCAGGTATAAACTCCTGATAAATCCCCCCTTCTGCTGTCCACACTTTCACACCAGTTCTCTGCATACTCTCACCCTAGCTTCAAAGCATTTCCTGAGTCTCTCTCTCCTGCATTATTCCTCTTTAGGTTTCTTAATAACTGTTTGTGGCTTTTGCTTCCTTTCCCTGAGTTTCGTATCTGCTTCTACCATTGCTTCTGTTCTGCAGCTTCTTTCCCTGTCTTTTTTGTTCCAATGTGTGCTGTTCTACGCAACATTGACTGCTGCTCTTTGCAGAACACTACAGGTAGCAGCTTCTGCTCAGCTCCTCATCTGCTTCAGGCTTCTTCCAGAGCATCTGTTTGTATTATTATGGCACTTAGGAAGCCTGCTCTCAGCCCAGGTTTCCAGGTAAATCCTTAAAAATTCATAGGGCAAAACTCCATTTTTTGTATTAAGGTGCTTCCAGGCATGGGCATGAGGCAAGTATGGTATAGAGTTAGGCAACCTTCATCCTAGCCCACCTACATCATTGCTGCATGTGTGTGTATATACATATATATATATATATATACATATACATATATATATAAAAAAAATAAGCATCAGTACAATATATGGTTTTAAGAAGCTTAAGAATGCTTTCCATCAAATTAGAAAGAAAGCATTGATCCTTCAGAAGTCTATGTGAAGTGTGAGTGGCACTGTGGGACTGAGAGGGTTGGAAGATGGAACTTCTTCCATCTTGGAGATGGAGATATCTACATTTGACCAACCAAGTCCTGTGGGTGGTGGAGGCAGGATCTCTCCATGACTGTGTTGTTTTGTGGGGAGTGAAGAAGCCATTTGTGACGTATTGGAAGGCTTACAGCAGTGGTGGGGGAGAACTTGTTACTTAGGGAAATGATCTTTGCAGTGGTGTTTTGAATTGATGGGTGGGTCAGTGCTGCTTTTTGGAAGGCCAAAGAGAAAGCTGTTGCAGGACTGGCCATTGGGTTCATCCATGCATTACTGTGAGGGCAGCAAGAGTGCAAGAAGTCCATAGCTCAGCAATCCTGAACTGAAAAGTCTGATAAATTCATCTCCAGCCCATGTATGTATATATATATATATATATATATAAAGACTTGTGGGGTTTTTATTGTTTGATTTTATTAAGTTAAAGCTGATAGCTAAAATCCTAGGAGGAGATGCTGTGCCTCATGAGGTCAGCTGTGCTTAGGCCAGGAGAAAGCAATGAGATGTGGTAGAGAACTGAGCTCTTCTGTTTTCTTGAAGTCATGGAAGTGCCTTGTCCAATACTGCCACCATTGTTCTCATTCTGGAGCCTTTCCCACCCCTCAAAGAAACAGATCTTATTTCATAAAGAGGCACTTGCACACTTGCTCCCAGCTGAGCCACTGCTTGTGCAAATGCTGCTTGAGGTGGCAGTCCCCATGGACTGCACTGACCAGGGTGTGACTACTGTTATTGTGTTTTCAGAGTACGGATCTGACAAGCACAGTTGGCTATGACAGCATAATTCAGCATCTGAATGATGGCAGGAAGAACTGCAAAGAGTTTGAGGACTTTCTGAAGGAAAGGTATGGAACTGTCTCCAACAACAGGTTGGGCTGAACCTGAGAAGTGGGGTGGTGGCACTACTTCTATTCATGTATTCCCAGTCGGGTTTCTGTCACTTTGTCATGTCCACTATGTTTTATGTTTTAACAAGTTTTAATATAAAACACCTCTGGTTTTTGAGTGATGAGGAACTTAGGTTCTTACACTGTCCTTTCACTGCATGGCTTGCTGCTCTGGTATGAAGTCCATTCAGACGTGGACTAGATGATCACATTTTGAACTGTCTATTAAAAAGAAAAGAGGAGTCAGGAGCAGTTTAATAATTCAGTCTTACATGCTGGATGTGTTTGCAGCTGCTAGTAGCCTGCCCAGGCCACATGTTCTACAATGAAGTCCACCTTGCTGTTCAGCTTGCAGAAGATCTTTGACACAGGAGAGCCATGGATTTTTTCTGAATTTGTCTTTGTACATCATGGACAGCCCATATAGTTTATGTTAAAAAGAAGTAGTAGACCTAAGGTCATATCAGAGGATATGACCTAAGTAGAGGTTCTGCAGAGGGCACAACAGAGATGGTCTGGCCATGTATTTTGAGTTTATGGCTCCTTTGGTTAGCAATGGCTAATGAATAGTGTTGTAGAACAATCCTGAAACCTCTAAATACAAGACTTGGCAGAAATCAGCCTGGAACAAAGGTAAGGGGGATGAAGAGGGGAACCTGCTGTTAAAAGTGTCTAATGCACATATATTATCTAGGCTGTAATACCACATTCCAGGAATATTTGGGCTTTCAGGCTGACTGGGGAACCATTCACTGAACCCCAAGAATTGTGTCTCACTCAACCACGGCAATAGAGAGAGTGCAAAAACTGTGCCCTGTTCCTCTCTGCTGTTGAAGGAGGCTCCCATTGAGGTGTCTAGCTAGGAGGAAGTTAGAGGCAGGCCTTGGACTTGCTAGTGGCATCCCTCTCTGAAGAGCCCAGCTGTTACATGGTCCCACTCATGGAGAACATGGTTGTTGGATTTGATGCTTTGCCTCAAAAGGAAGTTCATGGGAATATTGTTAGATAGAGGAAAAAAATCAATTTAGAATATTTATTTTTTCCATTTTCCTACAAGCTTTTGTTTTTTTAAGAGTTAAGTCAGATGAACCCCACTGCCAAACTCTAGAAATCAGTAACATAGGCATCTGCATCTGCGCTAGAGATACAGGCGTTTTAGGAAACTATTTTACCCAGTAGACCTTGTAATGCAAGTCTTTAGCTGTGCTTGCTTCTCTCCACTGACAGCAGACAGCTAGGGTAGCTTGACTAGATGGAGTTATCTGCATTTGACCAACTAAGACCTTGTTGTCTGTACAGATTTCAGTGCAACTGCAGAAAGCTGGCTGTTCTTAGACTTCAACACAAAGGTTTTCTTTCCCACCAGCTCTTTCTTCCAAGAGAGGAGGACAATACAATCTCTTGAAGGTGTTTTGTTACTGCACAAGATGTGGTCACTTCTTCTGGTGTTCTTCCCAAGACAGAAGAGAGTACCTATTGTCTTGCTCTAAAAAGAGCTGGAATGGCCCAGCTGAGCTTTGGAGTGCATGTATGGTGGCTGTGTGTTCTTTGAGGTGCTTAATCCCTTGTGATTTAAACTACATTTGGTTTGAATCAACCAAATCAGATTCAAATCACTTTGTGGGGATGGAGCGACAGACACTGATGGCCGATACACAGAAAACTTGTGTTCACACAAGCCTTGTTCACATGGGAAACTGAGCTAAAAAACTGTGGAGGCAGCTGGAGCCACCAGCTGCACTGGCTGTGTCGTCCTCCACCTCCTATGGAGGTGGTCCTTGCATCTATTGACCACAGGGAGATGGGCAATGCATTGGGACCACAGACACAGCAAAGCAAAATGTTTTCACCAGAAGGCTGTTGTAGCAGCAAACAACAGTCTTCCTTCAGCCAACTGTGCACAGTTGTTTTGCAGCAGATGGGGAGGGTGTTTAGAGTGAGTCTTGGCTCAGCCTGCAAACAAGTATCAGTTTCTGAAGTAAGAACTTCCTCTCATGTCAATCTTTCCTCAACAGGGCAATAATAGAAGAAAAATATGGCAAAGAGCTCATTAACTTGTCAAAGAAGAAGCCCTGTGGACAGACAGAGCTGAAGTAAGTTCACAGTCCCATGTACGTTTTGCTTTTATGGGTGTCCTTACTTGGAGAAATGAAGGAAGGAGGCTGTGAGAGACAGAAGACTATTGAAATGTGACTGGGACTTCTATCAGAGGGTGATCTGAAATTGGTCTGTGAATGAACAGTGCACAGTTGGGTTGTACTTTGCTGATGATTGAGTTGGGCTCCACCAAGTTCCCACCAGCCGTAGCCTAATCAAAGCACTGTGGCTGCGCAGGCAAGATGTGGAGTGGTAGTTCAGCACAAGGAAAAGGATCATGAGACCTTGGGTTTGCTCCTGACTGTTTTTGTGGTCAGAGGGAAGTACAGGCACTTGCTTGACTCAAACCATGCAAATCTGCAAAGCCCAGTGTTACCATGCCAGAGAGATCCTGCAGCCACTGCAGTCGGCTTCATGACTGTATTTCCATTTCCCCACCAACTCCTGGCACCTTTTACTTCCCCCTTTGTTTCTATACTTCATACATGCCTGGTCTGATACTCTCTGATCATTTATTTACAGTTTTATATTGAGCTGTCACATAAAATGTTTCTAAAATCTTTACTGCACAATCTTAATAGGGAAAGAAATTCCTACAGTTCCAACCACTGGCCAGTGCACCATGTAGAAGGTGTTCATATGTCCCAAATGATACTTCTAGGACATTGCCTGAAATATTTGTCATAAAACTCAGAATTGTCAATAGCATCCAATATTCAGAAAGATCTAAGGTAGATCTCAAACCAATTAAGCTGTGTTATATTTACTGAGAGGGAAAAAGCCAGACGTGTAAAGAGGATAAATAAACCTGCTTCAAGCTGTCTTGGCCTGTGTTAAGTTGGGGACATGCTATTCAGTTTGAGAGAAGTGCTCTGCTGATTCCTGAACCTGACTGTGCTTTCCCATTCTCTTTAATTTGTTTTTCAGCACACTGAAGAGATCCCTGGATGTTTTCAAGCAACGTAAGTAATTCTTCATGTTTGCCAGGACACTTGGCAGTGCCAAAGCCTGCTAGTTTAGAAAAAAAATAGCAGAGAAACTCTCAAACCTGTCTGATGCTGGAGTTAGGTGTAGGGGGGCCTTCTGGCCCACATCATCCCTTTGGCTCCAGAGCATGTGTGGGAGAGGGACCCACAGAGCATCTTGCTGGGGATCTTTGTGTCCTTCTGGGGCAGGCTGCACTCAGAAGTCACCCTTATGTTGTACATCAGAAGCTGCGCATGGGAAGCTCATCTGGAGTTTCCTGGACTGTCTTGCCTTGCCCTCTTCCCAAGTGAAAGGACAAGAGGAAATGGCCTCAAGCTGCACCAGGGGAGGTTTAGATGGTTATTAGGAAAAATATTTTCCCTGAAAGGTTTGTCAACCACTGGTACAGGCTGTCCAGGGCAGTGGTGGACTCACTATCCCTGGAGATGTTTAGAAGACGTGCATTTAGAAATATTTAGAAGATTGCTCAGTGACATGGTTTAGTGGTGGACTTGGCAGTGCTAGAATAATGGCTGGACTCAGTGATCTTAAAGGCAGGTCTTTTCCAGCCTAAATGATTCTACAATTCTAATTGGACCATCTACAAGATGATACTTTGGCCACCTTACATTGCCCCTCCATTTCCATGTACACACGACAGGCAACAACCCTGTGCTGAGGGCTGGTGCTCTGCTCTCCTGTGCTGAGTCCACTCTCTGCCCCAGCCAAGTTTGTCTGCTGCCCTAACCCTCGGTGAACCTCCCCAGCACGGCTCTGTTGTTGAAGCAGCTGGCTATTCATAGCTGGGGGTTTGAAAAAGCTCTGGGGCTTGAATCATGAGATACACTTTGCTTATGTCCTTTGATTAGCTTGCTGGGGTGCTGTTCTACAGTATGACCAATTCATTTCCAACAGGATGAGCCTGAGATTTTTTTAGCGTGTTTCTGTGCCACAAGTTGACTGTCTGCTAAAGTGGGGCAATGCTTCCTTCAGGAATCTGCTTCAGGGTGCTGTATGTTGAAGCCTACTTGAATTCACAGAGGTGAGGGGCAGATGTGACTGTGCTTGCTTGAGACAAGTTTTCTTACACTGAAAAGCAGACCCCAGCAGGACTCACCCAGGACTGACCCAAGGCAATGCTGCTTGGATGACACTTCAAATGTCCTGCTCCTTTTATATGTTTCTGCACAGGGATGTGTGATATGGGGTCAGTACGATGTCGGCTACAACCGCTGACTTGAGGAAAAGAGGTATATTTGGGGTATATATATATACTCAAATTTCTTTTCTTTGCAGAGATAGACAATGTGGGACAAGGTCACATCCAGCTGGCACAAACCCTTCGGGAAGAAGCAAAAAAAATGGAGGAATTCAGGGAAAAGCAAAAACTGCATCAGAAGAAGGTCAGGGTGTTGATCCATCACCATCCTTGGTGATGGATCCTGACTCATATCTCCCACCACGCCCCAGCCCCCTGCGTGCCCCCAATGCTTGCTGCTGCTGCGAAGTCCTGAGCTCCTTCCTATATATTGCCACCCTGCTGCTGAACCAGCAACCTCTGACTATTTCTGACTGCCACATCTTCTCCTTTGAGTGCCTTTTGGGGCCAGCTATAGCAGGGGCTCAGCTCCAGAGACACCAGCCTCAACCAGGAATGTTCTTAAAGCATATATATATAAACATATATATATATATATATCATATATATAGTGTTGCCTGATCTCCACAGGGTTTGCTAAAATTGGTAAGCCTTTTAAACTCTTCTGGCTTGAGATTCCTTTGTCTAGAAATTGAGGGAAAACTCTTAGAAGTTTGGACCTAGCAGAAGGAAGTGGGATTCCCAATTTCCCTAGATTCAATGGAGACGATACACTACTATATATTGGTGGATTTCATTTGTAGAGTTCTTTTGCATAGACAGGAGGAGGCTTAGCTAGAAGTATAAAAGGTGGGTTTTGTGAAGATGCTTTAGGTGGACATAGGTCCTTAAGGCCATCTGAATTTGGTCTGTGCCTCTTCTTTTCCTAACCCATATAGTCTGTCCTGGAGCTTTGATGGTCAGTGATGCGTTGAGTCTAGCTCTGTTGTCTTCACAGATAGAACTGATAATGGAGGCGATTCACAAAACCAGGAATCTGCAGTACAAGAAGACCATGGAGGTAAAGCAAACATGCTGCTCTTTCTTGCTATATGGTTTAACACTGCTAACACGCGTGCACAGTGCTGGGGCAGTCTTGAATATGAGGGTCTTCCTCTGCTGCAACTCATGCAGACACTACATCAAGAGCTGCAGCAGAGGAAGACCATCACATTTAAGTCTGCATAGTGTGCTCTGAAAAACTGAAGAGTACACCAGGGACATGGCTGGTAGCAGCCTTGCACGGTTGGATAAGAGCGATTTAGATGTCACGGACTCGATTGCTATGAGCTTTTCATGCCAAATGAAGAGCAGCTTGTCTTGTGAGGTCAGTTTTGCTCATGCAGCAGGGCACTGGGGATGTTGTGTGTTGTTCCCTGCTCTGCAGGCAGACTGCGGTCACCTCTCCACTTGTAGGCTGTGTTTTCCTCCAGAGCTACCTGCATGAGTTGTAATAGCAAATCACTGCTTGCTAACACGCTCCTGCCCTATTTGTTGACTTTCCTAGGCCAAGCGCCTCTATGAGCAGCGCTGCAGGGATAAGGATGAGGCGGAACAGGCTGTGCACCGGAACGCAAACATGGTTACACAGAAGCAGCAGGAGAAGGTATGGAGAAGTGGGTGGCCATGGGACAGAAGTAGGAAGGGTGTATGTTCTTGGAGCTCTCCTGCCCCATAACTCTTCTCCCAGCTCTGGGTTTGGGGGTGAGATGGATGGGCTGGTGATGAGCACCTCCCGTATGAAGACAGGCTGAGGAAGTTGGGGCTGTTCAGCCTGGAGAAGAGAAAGCTGCGTGGAGACCTCATAGCAGCCTTCCAGTATCTGAAGGGGGCCTATAGGGATGATGGAGAGGGACTCTTCATTAGAGACTGTAGTGACAGGACAAGGGTTAACGGGTTAAAAGTTAAGGAGGGGAAGTTTAGATTGGATATAAGGAGGAAATTCTTTCCTGTTAGGGTGGTGAGGCACTGGAATAGGTTGCCCAGGGAGGTTGTGAATGCTCCATCCCTGGCAGTGTTCAAGACCAGGTTGGACGAGGCCTTGGGTGATATGATTTAGTGTAAGGTGTCCCTGCCCATGGCAGGGGGGTTGGAACTAGTTGATCTTAAGGTGCTTTCCAACCCTAATTATTCTATGATTCTACGATTCTCCGGTTGGACTTCAGTACCATTGGCAATGAACTGGGGCTCTCCTATAGGTTTTTTTCTCTCTCCCATTTTTGACAGCTGTTTCTCAAACTGGCTCAGACAAAATCATCTCTGGAGGACGCTGGTGAGTGTGGAAAGCAGGCTTTGCAGTGTTTTCCGTGGCAGGGGGGTGTGAAGCCATGGCATGGCTCTTGAGTGAGCTCCAGCTCTTGGGGCAGGGCTGGCTCCTCAGAAACTCATGCTCAACATACCAGAGGTGGAGAAGCCTTCACAGCCCTACCAACGCTGTTCCCACCATCTCCCTGTGGCATGACCCTCCACAATGCTCTGCAGCTCTGCATTTCCTTGCAGTACACATCCATAGCTGGGCTCATGCATTACTGCTCCTTTCACCCTGGTGTCCCTGCCAATTCAGGCTTCATGTATCGTCTTCTAGCAAAGGGTGTTTTTAGTCATTGTTAACCAGATGAGAGTATGATTTCCCTCACAGACAGGAGTTACCAGCAGAGTGTTACCACCCTGGAGAAGATCCGGGAAGAATGGCAGAAAGAGCACATCAAAGCTTGCGAGGTAAAAGCCTCTAAATACATTCACATGGCAGTGTGGTCCTCTGGATGTCCGTTCCTCACTGCAGAGGTCCAGGATGGCATAGATGCACCTTCTGTGTGTTTCCCTGGCAGTGAAGCAGCAGGATGTGTTGCAGCTGACAATGCGCGTGTCTCATTCTTGGCTTCTGGCAAAGAAGCAGCATGTGCTGCAGCTAACTGTGTAGGCCTCACGCTTGGCTTCTGCATTTAAATTCCCACCACTTCAAGATTTCCACTATCTTTTTTGTTTTAATTCTACCATCTTTTAAAATTAACAGAGTCAAATTAGGGACATTTTGCCCATTAACCTGCTTGCGCATTTGGTATGGTCCTTATACTGACAGCTTTGGTCACCTCTTGGTACTCAGTGACTTAAGGCCAGTATGTCCTTACAGGCACATCACCACCTAGCAGACTCTGAAACTGTGAAAGACTTTAAATGAGTTTGTAGCAGAAGGTGCTGGCATACTGGGGACACAAGCTGGGTGAAGCCATCTCCATGTGAACCCAGTGTGCCAGCAGCCCTTCACCATGTATCTCACATGGTAGCATGGGAACCCCTCTGAGTGGATGTATCAGCCTAAAGCAGACTGCCTCATAGCAAAGTGGTCTAGCCAGGACTTCCAGCAAGTGCTGGAGAATCCCAGGGCTAGTGGCGAGAGGACTGTGATGCTGCTCTTCTACTGACCCGTGTCTTGCAGCCATCTGTGATCTGTAACGGAGGGTCAAAGGAGGTGATCCTGCCCCCCTCTGCTCTTGTGAGACCTCACTTGGAGTATTGCGTACAGTTCTGGTGTCCTCAACATAAAAAGGACATGGAACTGTTGGAACAAGTCCAGAGGAGGCCACAAGGATGGTCAGGGGACTGGAGCACCTCCCATATGAAGACAGGCTGAGAAAGTTGTGGCTGTTCAGTCTGGAGAAGAGAATGCTGCATGGAGACCTCATAGCAGCCTCCCACTATCTGAAGGGGACCTACTAGGATGCTGAGAAGGGACTCTTCATTAGGGACTGTAGCGACAGGACAAGGGGTAATGGCTTCAAACTTAAACAGGGGAAGTTTAGGTTAGATACAAGGAACAAGTTCTTTACTGTGAAGGTGGTGAGGCACTGGAATGGCTTGCCCAAGGAAGTTGTGAATGCTCCATCCCTGACAGTGTTCTAGGCCAGTTTGGACTGGCCTAACTATTCTGATTCTTTGATTCTATGGACAGGGACTGCAGCAGTTTAGGTTTTATGCCATGTCTGCTGCAAGCTTGCTAACAGCCTTCCCACTCCCAGCTGTTCTGATCCCTTCCCAACCTACTTCTCATTAGGCCTCTATTTTAAGTTTTCATTTTAAAATGGAATTTCCTGTCTGTGTTGTGTGGTATGTCAGCGCCTCAGTGCTGGTGTGCTTTCCATGTCAGGAGTCTCTAAAACCCTTTATGATAGTGGGGTGTAGAAAGCAGTAGTTTCACTTCAACAGATGGATCACGTGGAGGTTTTCCCCTCAGTGTGTTGCAAAGGTTATAAATGATAACAACTGCATATGTACACGTGCGATGAGAGGCTGTCAGGGAAATGAGTAAAGGCTCATGAAATGGAGCTATACCAGACAGTACATTTCAAAAGACTTCTGTTTCAAGCTCCTTGGAAAAGGGATGGTAAGAAAAGGGATTGTAAGGAAAGAGAGAAAAGACACTTTGCTTTCAGATATCCCAAATGCTTTTTTATTGCTCCATAGTTGTGGGAGAGAAGTCAGCTGGGACTGCAGGACCATGGGGTACCTAGGAAACATGCAGTGCCTTTAGGAAGCTGGCTTCGTCTCCCCAGAGGTAGTGTTGTGCTGAGTGACCCCTTCCGCACGGGCCCTGCAGACCTTCCTGAACTTAACGCTCATCTTTGAAATATCTGGGTGTGTAAAGGGTCGACTTTTTCTCTGGACAAGGTCTCTTCCAACCTAGCTGGTTCTATGATTCTATGACTCATGGTTACCATGCTTCCTGCAGAAGACCAACATCACCTACTCCTTGCTGTGGATGGTTGATCAAAGATCTACCAGTGATCTTTGTAGTGGGATGAAAAGAGATCAGAATAGAAGACATTTGTTCTCAAAGATGTTAGGGCTGTTTTGTCTGTGTCATTTCAGTTCTTTGAGACTCAGGAGTGTGAGCGGCTCAACTATTTCCGCAATGCCCTCTGGCTTCATGTCAACCAGCTCTCCCAGGACTGCGTCCAGAATGATGAAGTATGTCAAAGGAAAAATCTTCATCTTTATTTTGAGAAAACACAACCCAGTTTCCTTCCCTGTGCTGTCTGAGTGAGTTGGGTTGTGCCCTTTAATCAGCCACCAGACACCAGCATAAGTGTGCACACAGATTTTGGCCAGAGCTCTCACAGATGAGCTTTCATCTGGGATTCCCATGTTTTTTGAGGATTGTGAGGCCCTGGTATAGGTTACCCAGAGAAGCTGTGGCTGCCCCATCCCTGGCAGTGTTCAAGGCCAGGTGAGGATGGGGCTTGGAGCAACTTGCTCTAGTGGAAGGTGTCCCTGCCCATGTCAGGGGCTTGGAACTGGATAAGCTTCAAATGTCCCTTCCAATCCCAACCAGTCTGGGATTCTATGATTCTCTTACAACTGGAGCTTGTGCCCATGTCCTGGGTGAGTGCCGGGCTTTCAGCCATGTGTAAAAAACACCTGAAAAAACCTGCATGTTTTTTGACCTCATTTACAAAAAATGCTTTTGATTTCCCTTTCATAGAAATATGAGGAAATCCGCAAGAGTTTAGAACTGTGCAGCATTGAAAAGGACATTGATTTTTTTGTAAATTTACGCAAAACTGGAAGTTTGGCACCAGGTAAGAGCTCAGTGCAATCTCACAGATTAGTGCTGTCTTCCTTGTACTTCTCTTGGAGCTGCTTCTCTGATAAGCATCAGTTTGGATGCAAGAAACACTGATCTCGCAACATCCTTCCTTTCATTCCCTGGCATGCAACACTGATCTTTGCCACTCTTGACCAGCTCCTGAAGATAATCTTCTCTTCTTGTAACATTAAATTCATTGATCAGACATTTTCACAGAGAGGGGACTTAGCAGTTGAATGCTGGTATGACAGAAAATTAACGGCTTTAAAAGGTCTGGACTTTACTATTGTTAATTCTTTTAGCTCCTGTTGTTTATGAAAACTACTACAATACACAGAGAAATCCAGCTCCTGTGAGAAGTCCAGTTCCCATGCCTATATCAAGGTAAGAGACACAACATGTACAACTGTGTTGTGGTTTAAGCCCAGCCGGTAACTCAGAACCACGCAGCTGCTTTCTCACTCTCCCCACTTCTTACTCCCTCCACTCCAGAGGGATGGGGAGGAGAGTTGAAAGAATGGCACTCCCACGGGCTGAGATAAGAACAGCCCAGTTACTAAGGGCTAATTACTAATATAAAACCACTACTGCTACCATCAATAATAATAATGATAAGGGAAATAAGGCAAGAGAAAACAACCGCTCACCACCCGCCTATGGACATCCAGCCTTACCCGAGCAGCAATCTACCCCTTCCGGGTAACTCCCCCTAGTTTATATACTGGGCATGACGTGCTGTGGTATAGAATACCCCTTTGGTTAGTTTGAGTCAGATGTCCTGTCTCTGCTTCCTCCCGGCTTCCCCTCCTTCCTGGCAGAGCATGAGACTCAGAAAGTCCTTGGTCGGGGTAATCATTACTTAGCAACAGCGAAAACATCAGTGTTACCAACATTGTTCCCAGGCTGAAAGTCAAAAACACAGCACTGCACCAGCTACTAAGAAGAAAAAAAATGACTGCTACTGCTGAACCCAGGACAGTATCCACCCCTCATTCCACACCATTCATGTCATGCCCAGATCCCACATTTTTTCAATATACCAGAGCTTTTGTCTCATATATATAGATATACACACACACACACACACACGAAGAGAGAGATATCATTCCTTAGTCCACGGACCAATCCCTATAAAGCTGCTGAATTCATCCATTACATGATATTGGGCTCCATCTCTTGTAACAGTCTTTCAGAGCAGGAGAGATGGTGTGCAGTGTTGGACTGTTGCCTGAGATGACACTGCGGAACTTGTCTGGTTCCATCAAAGTTCATTCTTTGTTGGGATGATGGTTGGAGGGAAGTCAGGGCCAGCTGCTGGTGATCTGAAGACATCTAGTTGGTGGGCTATAAACGTGCTACATAGCAGGCAACAGCACACAGTTGAGTTCATTGGCTGTTTTCCCCTAAAATCAAATCCCCTTGAGGTACACATCAGACTTCCCCATCTTTCCCCATTATCCATCAAATATATCCAAGTGCCTGAGCAAAAGCAATCCCACAAGTGGGTTTGCCTTTACTGGAAGCAGGAATAACCCAGACTGTCTTCCCCAGCAAATTCTTTGTGTGCACCACAGGAACTTTATCTCCCTCTACAGCATGTAAAAGTTCTGATTGGGCTGGTCCAGCCCTGTTGGCAGATCCCCTAGTGTGGACCAGCCAGGTGGCTTCTAGTAAGTGTGTATCCCAATGTTTGAAAATCCCACCACCCACTGCTCTCAGCGTAGTTTTTAACAACCCATTGTACCGTTCGATTTTCCAAGAGGCTGGTGCGTGGTAGGGGATGTGATATACCCACTCAATGTCATGCTCTTTGGCCCAAATATCTATAAGGTTATTCCAGAAATGAGTCCCACTGTCTGACTCAATTCTCTCTGGGGTGCTGTGTCGCCACAAAATCTGTTTCTCAAGGCCCAGGATAGTGTTCCGGGCAGTGGCATGGGGCACAGTGTATGCTTCCAGCCACCCGGTGGTTGCTTCCACCATGGTAAGCACATGGCGCTTGCCTTGGCGGGTTGGTGGCAGTGTGATATAGTCAATCTGCCAGGCCTCCCCATATTTATACTTCAACCATCGTCCTCCATACCAAAGAGGCTTTAACCGCTTGGCTTGTTTAATTGCAGCACATGTTTCACACTCATGAATAACCTGGGCAATAGTGTCCATTGTTAAGTCCACCCCTTGATCACAGGCCCATCTGTATGCTGCGTACAGGGGCAACCGATATTGGTATGAACTGGTCCTCTGGTCTGGTTGCAGTGATTACCACTGTGGTTTGAGTAGCAACTGTACTTGTTGCTGGGGGTGATGTAGCTGCTGTGCTTGGAGCTGGGGTAACCGCGCTGTCTGTTGCAGCCGAAGTTTGAGCAGCGACTGTACTTGTTGCTGGGGGTGGTGAAGCTGCTGTGCTTGGAGCTGGAGTAGCTGTGCTGACTGTTTCTTTGTCCTTGGATCCACCGACATTCTTTTCCTTTTGAAGGTTCTGGATAGTGTTGAACAAGGCCCTGTAAGCATAGGCCAAGCCCCAGCATGTTGCCATGATTTGTCCATCTCTGGTATGGCCAGAATGACCACACACCTCATTTAAGTGTTTTACTAATTCTTCTGGATTTTGCAGTTGTTTGGTAGTGAAATTCCAAAGTACTGGAGGGGCCCACTGGCCTAGATACTTGCCCATACTATCCCACACACCATGCCACTCATGACTGTTCAGCTTCAGGGAAAATCTATGAGCACCTATATGGCGTACCTTCACCACCAGGTTCTGCAACTGGGCAGTGATATCTTGCCACAGTGCAGCACCCCAAATAGGTATACCTCTGCATTGCCAGTTGCTCTGCTTCCATTGCTGCAATCACCCCCACAGGGCATTTTCCACCATCCATGAGTCAGTATAAAGTACTGGTCATTTTCTCATTCAGCAATGTCCAAGTCCAGCTGGATGGCTTTCACCTCAGCAAACTGACTCGATTCACTCTCTCCTTGAGCAGTTTCTGCAACTTGTCACGGGGGACTCCATACAGCTGCCTTCCATCTCCAATGCTTCCAAAGCACTGGATGGGCCCACTGGACTAGATACTTGCCCATACTGACCCACACACCCTGCCACTCATGACTGTCCTGCTTGTTGGTGGTCCTCCTATATTGTCATCTAACTCTAGACAAGACCTGAACCCGACACTGCTTAACTTTCAAGATCAGTTAAAATAGGGCGTTCTCAGGAAGGGATGGCCATGGGTAAAACACACTGTATATGTGTACCAACATGTTGATGACCATCATAATCAGCAGGCATGTTTCATGGGTATTCAAAAGCCATTGAAAACCTTTAGAACTCTCAAATGCTGCTGTAAGCAGCCTGGTGAGGAAGTGGGAGGTGTAAGGGATTGTTTCCTTCATACGTTGACTGCCCAAGAAGGAAAAAAAAGATGCGTAATTGCTAAACACTTCCATTATATACCTCCCAAAGTATAGAGGTGATGACCACGCTGGGAATGCAAGCCAGATCAGTTTCATGATCAATGAGTCTACTGTATTACAAGTCATTACCATAAAGTACAGAGAAACAAGAACCGCAGCCCAAGCCCCCCGGCTGGTAAACACTAAACTGGCAAATACCAGCTCTTACTAAGGTACGACATGCTGAAACTCTGATATTAAGAGCAACAACTTTGAGAGCCAATAAATCAGTGTTGTAACGAGTGACTATTAATCTGAAACAATGAATGCTTATCACAAATATGATTAGACACACTCTGGTCAGATCTGTCGTTATCTCAACCCTTTGTGCCCCACGTTGGGTGCCAAAAAGAACTGTCATGGTTTAAGCCCAGCCGGTAACTCAGAACCACACAGCTGCTCGCTCACTCCCCCCACTTCTTCCTCCCTGACAGACACCAAGCCCGACCTGAGCAGTGATCTGGGCCTTTCAGGTAACTCCCCCCCAGTTTACATACTGGGCATGACGTGCTGTGGTATAGAATACCCCTTTGGTTAGTTTGAGTCAGATGTCCTGTCTCTGCTTCCTCCCGGCTTCCCCTCCTCCCTGGCAGAGCATGACACTCAGAAAGTCCTTCGTCAGAGTAGACATTACTTAGCAACAACTAAAAACATCGGCGTTATCAGCGTTGTTCCCAGGCTGAAAGTAAAAAACACAGCACCGCACCAGATACTAAGAAGGAGAAAAATGACTGCTACTGCTGAACCAGGACAAATTGCAACTGGTATTACAAATGATAACTCTCCCAGAGGAAAAAAAAAAGAAAAAAGAAAAAAAAAGAGCACATTTTGTTGCTTTCAGTCTATAGAGGCAGTTGCTTTCTTTCACAACTATGGCTTCATCTATGACAATTGCAACTACACTTCCAGTTGCTTGAAGGCTTGAACTGGGGAGTATTAGAGGAAAATATTTCCCATGCTATCAGTTCACACAGCAGGAGTTATGCCAATGTGCTGCCTAACATATAAGTTGCTTAAGAATCCCCTCCAGCCCAATCAAAGGATTTTGCTCCCCATTTGGGGGTCATTTCTCTCTTCTCATGATTGGGAATTTTATTCTGCAAGGAATTTGGTGAGGGTCTGCCCATTTTTTTCTTGTACTCAAGCTATTCCAGAAGTCCTTTTCACGGAGGTGAAGGACTGCACTGTTCAGACAGCTGAAAAGCAAGGCAGCCTGCAGAATACTGAATTCATGTCTTGTTCTCTCTGGAAACCATCTGAGCTCTCTTGTAGAAGAGTTCAGGTTTTGGTGACAGAATGAAACCTGCTGGTCTTCCCTGTATGGTTCTCCATGTGTTCTGTTTATCTGAGAAGACTGGATCAGTTAAAAGCATATGTAAGTCGAGGAAGGACACGGTGAAGGATACTTCTGCCTAAAGGGAAGGTGAGGAGTCAGGGCCAAAGAGTCATGATGAAGATGAGTGTGTCAATTTGGCTGTCACATCTGGAGAAGAGTCATGTCTGATTATGGCTTCATGATGTCTCACTCTGGACAAAGGCATGTAAAAAGGCATGCCCTGAGGCTCACTTGTGAATGTGTCCCCAACTAAGTGCTTTTTGGTCACTTCTTCCTCTCCCCCACCGTATCAGCTTTAATTCCCATGTCTGCCAAGCCGGCTGTTGGTGGTGAGCCCACCATGACGTGCCTTGGTATCAGGTCTCCATGAAGTCCAGGCTGGCCAAACCTCTTGCCCTCCAACCAGCTCTGGGAGGGCAGTTGGGGAGCCCAGAGCCAGGCCACTGGGAGTCCCAGAGCCACGCAGATCCTCAGCTCTGTGTTTTCTTCTGTGCAGGAGGGCACCTCTGCCTACCCCGGCCAGCTCGTCAGGTGAGTTACTTACTTTATGGGGTTTCTGGCTCCACAGAACTCTGCTTTTGCTTTTCCCCATAAGATTATGAGCTTCAGCTCTCTAAAGGGAATGGTTTAGGTGAAGCTCCTGCTCTAAGTCCGGTCCCCCCCTGAAAGATCCTGGGAAGCTATACTCTGACTTTGGAGGCAAGGTTTCACCAGAGGTTATGATCAAAGACCTGTATGTAGGCATTTCTGAAGCTGAAGAATGTCCAAGCTTAGGATCCCACCAGTCTCTACAGTTTGGGCCCTTTGCTGATTCAACACCATGAACTATATAATTCCCAGTGCCACTTTAGTACTGGAACTTGGTAAAATGCCTTGGTTGTTCAGCAAATCAAGACATCTCTTTCAGCCTCATCCACCATTGCCTTCCATCCCTTTGACACAGGTGGCCAGTGTTTCTGTCCTGTGTAGTCTTGTAACGAGCACTTCTCATAAGCAGACCTCATTTTTTTTTTGTGCTCTCTGTTTCAGGTGAGCCTGATTATGCCACAGTTGATGGCTACAGTTTGATTCATCACTAATAGCCACAGTAAGTACTCATACTTGAAGACGACAGGATTTAATATGAGATATAGCTACACAGAGGAGGGTCAATGGAGAAGGAAAGGCCAGATATCCCATCTTCACACTCAGGGGAAGAAAAGGAATCTAAGCGATGGACCCAGATGCAGGGACGATCTGTGTCAGAAGAAGTTTTTGATTTGAAATTCTTCTAAAGTGCAGCCACCTGGAAGAGGCTGGAGATAACCAAGAAGTCATATGTGCTGAGGGGAGTGCTGCACAGTGCTTTGGGAATGCTGGCTAATGTTTAGGGCAGAGGTATCCCACTCAGATCTCAGGTTAAGCCTTTCCCCGTTTCTCAAGTCCTTCATTAATGGCGATTAAGGCTGTAGTTCAGGTTTAATTTTGGCCATATCTCTCAGGGAGCTCACTTAAAGGAGCACTAACAATAGACCGTGTGTCTGGCTTAGCTGTAGATGTGCTTTAGATTTTAAGTGCTGATACTGGAAGCTGATTTGCATTTTGCCTGGTGCAGCAGTCCACAGCACAGCTACTCAGTGAGAGGCCGTGCTTCCAGAAACCTACATCCTGCAGTGCTGCTGAGGATCTGAAGAAGTTGGTCAGCTCTTCAACCACCTCTCCAATGAGGCGCTTGCAAATTTTTAGGTTCATGATATAGCATGTGCCTAGTAGTTTCTGCAGACCCTCAATTGACTGACTTCTGGTAAAGAAGTCCCCTGGACTTGTTGTGACTATGTATCACTGAAAAAGACTTAAGCTACTAATGCTGGGCTGGAGCCCTGAAACTCATTTTCTGATGATATCTCCTCAAAGGTCTTGTTTCTTTTTCTTTCCCTACCCATGATCATGGCTTTGATTCAGAAACTCATGTGCTGCAGGGCTGCTGGTCTCTGTCATATCCCCACGTGCAGCATTGCTTAACAGTTCCCCAGTGCTTTATGACGCAGGGATTGAGGAGAAGGGGATCAGCACACAGTTCAGCTGTTTAAACCCGGTGCCAGGTGACTAGCTTTGGAGCAACGGGATTTGCTGATGTATGGCGTACCTCAAGTTGAATCTGCATGATTTCAGTGCATGTCTAAGCCAAATAGTGCCTAGAGCTTTTACTGTATTTTCTTGTGTGGAGAAGATGACAGTGAGCTTAAACATCTCCCCTAATGCATTACAACGGACTGTGCAAAGTGCACGTCAACGAATCAGCTGTCCATTTTCATTTCTGAAAGACCAAGTGTACAAATATTCTGCTGAAGGACCCTGCTGTAGCCTCTGTTCTTAAATACATACTTTATGTTTTGAGACTTGTGTGCTGGCTTTCTTCTAAAGTATATCAGACTCACTTTTTTTATCTAGGCTAGGGCTGGTATACCTTCAAAGCACCCTAGGATGTTCAGGTTCCTTCTCCTGGGAGGAAGCCTACAAGAGCATATCCTTGCTCAGCCTTTTTTTCCTACTTGCTCAATATCACAACAGCTCTGGGACAGAACTCACCAAGACTTTAGCCTCCCCAGGGGCCCCTAGAGTCAGGCTGAGTTTCCTCACAGGCCTCTCTAGAGGGGTCTGTCCTCCTCCCAGACACCCACACAAGTGAAGGGCCTAACAAGAGACCCTGATAACCAGCTGCACAGCTCCTGCCTTCCCCCTTAGGGACAGAGAGGCCACAGCTGCTTTAGTAAGACAAAATAAGCAGAGGGATACAGGTAGCATGTAAATCTTATGTCCCTTCAGATGCTGGGCATCCTGCCTTCAGGCAGAGTTAGAGCTCTTCCTTTTTGGTCCTATGAGCTAATACATAAAGCATCACAAGAAAAAAGCATTAGTTATGAAGGAAGTTCACAGGAGTACTTCCTGCTGCCTTTCCAGATACAGGCAGGGCCAGGCAGCTGGTGTGTCAGTATCAGGCAGGAGCTGCCCATAAACCCCCTGTTCCCATGACATGGCCAAGCTTATCCCTTAGCCATGGGACTTGTGTAGTTCAGACCAGCCCTGTGCCTCCTCAGGGGATCACCAGCTCCATAATGTGCAATGGGCTCCTGGTCAGGATCATCTCTGCCTTTACCCATGCACAATTTACCTTTCCCACAGGTATTATAAATGACGGATGATGTTGATAACAAAGGGTTTTCTCAAGGCCAAAGTACAAGGCCTAAGAGAGTGGACATTACCTGTCAGTGATGCCTCGTCCCCTAGGCTGAGACTGGAGCCCCGCTGTGGCTGGAGATGCCTCAGGCACTACAGGACAGCCTGCCTCGCTCCAAATGCACTTCCAGGTCCTGCTATGGCATAAGAAAGAAGAGACCTCACACTGCATATTTTCAATAGTAGGGGTTTAGTTTCTCACTTCCCCTCCCCTACCCCCGATGAGCCTTATGTAAGAGCTTGCCCCCCCCTGCAGGCCCATATAGGGGATGCTGACTTCCTCCTAGGTTCCAACAGATGAGTCCTGCCTGTTTGCCCTTGTTGAGACAGCCTGGCTTATATCCTTAGAGAGGAGATTGGATTCTTCCCTGCCTCCTATACATGATCCTGGTCTCATATCCGTTACTCATTATGGGAACCTAGCTCCCTCCCAGGCTCCTGTAGAGGAGCTTGGCCTCCACACAAATCTTTTAGAGGATGTTGTCCCCCACAGGGTCTCATAGGAGGGCCGATCGTCATTCAAAACTCTTATAGAGGGCATGAGCTCCCCACAAGATCCTATGGAGTAGTCTGGCCTCCCTCGTGGCTCTTACCCAGGAGCCTACCCTTCCCATGAGAGTCCGCATACCAAATGACCCCACACCCGCCGCGCTCCCAACTGAAGACCCCTCCCCGCCCAGGCCAGGCTAGTTGCGTCCTTCCGTGCATTACGTAACCTCCGCGCTGCTGACTGGAAGGGAGCGCGCAGGCAGGGGTATCAGCCACCCCCTTCCTCCGCCCGCAGTACCCGTGGCTGCTGCTTGGTGGTGCCGCAGAGTATGGCCCTGGTGGAGGCCGTGAGGGGGCCCCGCAAGGCCCACACCAAGAGCAGGCCCGAGGTCCAGGGGGAAGGCGGGGATCGGCTCCGGGTGAGGCTCCTCCGGTCCTCGTCCGGGCTGCTTCCGCCGCCTGCCGGTTGTGGTGGGTCCGGCGAACTTAGAGGGGCGGGGAGGAGCCTGCGGGGTTGGTACACGCCGTCGGGGGGGGGGGCGTTCGTCAGCCCTTTGTCTCGTGTTCGCGCCTATTCCCGAGTGGGTTTAAAGCGGCGGAGAGGGTGTCAGCTCCAGGCCGTGCTTGTGTCCGTGTTTGTTTGTCTGCTGCTGGAAGCGCCTAGATCGGGGGGTGTGTGCCTATCTGAAAACATATGTCCCATCCCTGATCTAGGTATCAGCTATGGCTGTGATTCCAGACCAAGTTTTATTTAGTGGGCAGGTAAAGACTGAAGGGACTACTGGTCACAACAGTAAGTGTGTCATTGTTTTGATTCAGCCCATAACGTGTGCGAGGCAGTCACATCCTAAGACTGCTACCTGGGAGAATCCGTACCCTGCAGCAAAGTGGGGATTCACTGGTGACACTGCTGCCCGTTAACACGTGTATAGAATGTCTGGTGGCTGCTGTCTTTGGCTGTGCCTTCAGGTGTAATTCACTGTGAAACAAATCCCTGGCAATGTCACGTGTGGAATCCATATTTCTTCAGTGTTACAATGACCCATTCCTGATATTTTTGTGACTATTATTTTGCTCACCTCTGTTAATACTGTGTTTTGAGGGCCCTGTTTGGGGCTGAGTCGCATTAAAGGACTTTTGAATTCCCATGCTTCAGAAACAGGCATGATCTGGTGAAAAGCTTGTTGAAAAATATTTACAGAGGGTCCTGCCCATGCTGGGGCAACTAATTTATCCACTTTGTTATTGCCTTCACTAAGCTTCCTGGAAGGCCTGAATGACTGCGAATATGCATAATAAAATATGTACATTTACGAGTATTCACAAGATGTAATATGGCTTTTAACAAGATCCACAGCCTGTGATTAGTGACTTCTTGTAAAATTGCCCTTTCTATACGTTGAACAATGCCTACAACATATAAAGAATCGCAGACAATATTAAGAGCATCAGACCATCGCTGAAATGCTGCAATAACAGCACTTAGCTCTAGTGTTTGTAGTGAATTGGAAAAATGACCAAGTATATTCTGCTCTTTCCAGCCATCGTATGTTTGCCAAACATATCTGGCTGTGTGATTGATTTTGCTTGCATCTGTAACGACAGTTAATCCTACAACAGGTTTACTAGAATAAAAGGTAACATTTTCAAAGTGATCATTCTTTAGCATTGTAAACATCTTATGAGATGGAAAATGTATATTAAGAGGACCAACAAAACCTATCAGAGCAGACTGAAAAGCAGAGCTAGATTGTTGTGCCCAGTCTAACCATACCCTGGTAAGTGGCAAACAAATTTGTGATGGATCACAGCCCATAATTTCCTGACAACGTGAACGACCTTGTACAATCAAAAGAACAAACACTTCTAACCTAGTAGTTACAGTTTATGTAATCAATAAGGCAGGAAAATCCATTCTAAAATGCATAAAGGATCAGTCTTTTGAAGATC